GTTTTATTGATACAATTTTGGCTGTCCTTAAATCTAGTATTACTAAGTGGGGTTGAAAGTGTTTAGGGTAGGAGTCAGATTTAGGGATGGACTGTTGAGGTAGGGAAAGATCAGGATGAATAGATCTGTTTCTCGTTAGAATGAAACAGCTGTGTAACTCTATTGTAAATAACAGATAAGCTAGTTTGTCATCTGAAATAGCCGAACTGACGCATGTTTTAATATCTCATGCGACGAGGTAGATGAGTTGATTATCCAACAGGAATACTCATGAATTCAACACCTTCGCTTCGGTATAAACAAAGAGGATTCTGAAAACGTCGGAGCAGAAGCGTGGCAGAAAAAAGCGGTCAAACCAGTGCCGGATGGACCGTCTGAAAATTCCAGATCGCACGGAGGATGGGGCCGTAGCTGTGAAGCTATATGAGTTACACGAGACGTACAAACGTTTCGTTTTTCGATTCTAACATCGACAGATTTTTAAGTTCGGAAATATGCGTTAGACGCGAGGGCCGGCGTGACCTGAAACGATCGAAACCTGTTTCGAACGAGGCAAGGAACCTTCAAAACTGAAAGTTTGAATGCCCCACGGTTTCAAGTTCAAACGGTTGCGCGAGCGAGGAATCTCGGAGTTAATCGTTAAAACGAGAACGCGTAACTTCAACACGGAGGGGGGTTGGAAAAAGCAGCTGGTCCGTCGTGCGTACATTAGTAAAAAGTTGATCGTTATGAAAAACGAGACTCACTGTAAGTCCGTTCAACGTGACATCTCCTGGTTCAGTGAAACGTCGCGAACGATTCCGAATCCAGTAGGCCGTCGTCGCCGTCGACGTCTTCCTCGCCGCGTCGTCGTGGTCGTCGTGGTCGTCGTCGTCGCAGCACGAATCATCACGTCCAGTCACGAGAAGCACTGCGAGCCGCCGACGTGCATCGTCGCGACCGCGGTTCACCACTCCCGGTTTCCACGTCCCTGTGACCGGCGCCAGCGGCGGCGGCGGCGGCGGCGGCTGCGTTTGCTCGCTTCGAAACTCGCGTGGATTCACGTTCGTTCGATCGCACGTCGGCCCGTCGTCGTCGTCGTCGTCGCCGTTGACGATCACGAGGCGACGGCTCGGTTTCGTCGAGGGCGAGGGTACGCCTCGACGCGGTGACGGTGATGATGCTGCTGCGGAGTTTTCGGGCCGCTCCGTGTGGGAGAGACACGACAGCATATAGGGAGATGCTCGCGGGGGACGGGTTATTACTGTCTGCTCTTGCCGCTGTTGCTGCTGGTGACCTGACGTGCCGTGTGTGCGTGCACCTAACCGATGCGATTCGAAAAAGCGAGCCGTGAGCGTGACATCGGCCCGAAGAGAAAGGGACCAGCGGCGCGCAAACCGAAACGCCTCCCTCTGGCAACTACACTGTTCGAGCAACAGCATCCGACTGCGTTTGATTTTACTGCTGCCGCGGACCCATCGGGCCACACCATGAACAGGCCAATTCTGCTGTTGGTGGCGACGTCTGGTGCAATTCCAGGAATTGTCCGCGGCAAGAGAGATCTCCGGCATCGATTAGGGCGGCTTTCGCGGTAAAACCCACCCTCTCCTGGCAAATCTGTAATCTCACCCCTTCTTAAACCTCCCGATGATTTCATAACTGCGCTCGGCACGGTTTTATTGGCTGGTACCGTTTTACAAGATGAATCACTTCAATCTGGATCGTGCTAAAATTAGATCTCCCATTAAAACAATTCCTCCAGGTTGTTTTCATTGTCGATCGTTGGTAAGAAGGATCGAGGGTCTTTTATTTAACATTCTCTCTATTACAAAACTAACGATTATTACTTAATTACTATTATTGAAACCTATGAAAAAAATATTTGGATACAATTCCAGAACAAACGCTATTTCGTCTCAATTGCGATTCACCCCTCCACCCCCTGTTCAATTGTTAACCTCATTGTCGTGGAACGTGAATCAATATCTGAGCGAACCTCTGAAAACTTTTATTTATGATCTTTTTAAACGTCGCTCGCTATCGCGCGGCACGTCACGTATCGAATTTATGCCGACACTGCGATTCGAAAATGACATCGCCTTCCCCTCAGCTGCAGTTCCCGTATAAAGCGGTCGTACATATGCCGTGGCGTCTCAATCGAATGCTGCACGCTGAAGCGATCAATCCGGCCGGGAAAAAAAAAACCACACGTAGTCCCAGGCTCGATCAAACTTAGCGGATCGTTAAGTTGCCGCAGCGATAAACAGCGTAGCGGTATTGCGAAGTGGTTCAGTCCGGCACAGTGTCTCGGCCTTGCCCCCTCGTCGTTGGTCGCATCCGTTCGTGCCACGACATTTTGCGCGTGCGAGACAAGGATGGACGTCGTCGTCGTCGTCGTCGTCTATTTCTACGGAGAGAAGTGAAGCCGCGGGTCATGCGGCCGCCTTCTGCCAGCCGCAGTAAAAGGCCTGGCTGCTGTGTGGGTGGACAACGATGAACGCTGCTGCTGCTGCTGCTGCTGTTGAAGCTCGCCGTCCACGCGTATCCCACCGTCGCAAAATGTCGAGGAAAACGTGAGACCGAGCACCTCGGAGAGACTAGCCGCGTCGCCAACGACTTGGGAGCCTCCGGATGCAACGAAACAGTTCTATCCCGAGGTAAGAAAAAGATTCACCCTGGAGTATCGCTCGGCTGCTCCCGGTCCAAGGGCGAATCTTTTCTATTCCCGTCGATAATTTAATCGACACGTCTGGACGATTTTTAGTTCCTTAGACGAGGCGTCGGCCGTTCGGATCGTAGATAATAATTAGTTCCGACAAGTAATCAGCGTTCGCGAGCTTTTTTATCAGTGTATCTGGTTTCTGTCACTATGCATACATTCCTTCCACTCTTGGCTATGTACAATTGGATGCAACCAAGTGCCGTGCTTATGAGACACGCGTGACTATATTTGTACGGTTTATCAGTGATCTTTGGTATAGATTATAAGTAATAGTAGATGCTGATAACGCGTAGACCTTGTTAAAGCATGATTGATGCGTCCACAGGACCAGAGATGTCAAAACGACTGAGCTTCTATGGTCTGGTAGGCCTGGCGTCCGTTTGCATCTTCTTCTTAGCGTTTAATCAACGCTACAGCAGCTATCTCGAGCATCGACTGCAGCCGGTGATATCGGTCAGTAAAAAATCGGAGGTGGGGATTGCTCTAAATTGAGTCACGCCAAACACGCTCTTTCTGACGGTAAAGTCTAACTTTTGCACCTAACTTTTTTCCACTCTATCTCTCGTCTTAAAAACACTAACAAAATTGTGCTTGGTTCCAAGCCATATTATTTTGCGTCAAGCCAGCTCTCTTTCTCCCTGTTTCCTCTTCCGATTTCTGATCACAGCCGACGTCCTGCTCGTATCAACAAGGACACTGCGATACATGCTCATCACTGCACATCCCGAGCTATGACAGACACTCGGGACATCCGATTGTTTCACGTGAAACAAAGCTTTCTATTCTGTTCTGCATGCGTCCGAATCTCTACCATCCTGTTACCGCGTTCTTCATTTATTTTTGTTGATCCAATTCGCATCGCTGAACACTATCGACACTGATTCACTACCTGTATAGAGAAAGAGGGAGAAAGATACTGTTATGGTTACAACAGCAGCATCATCGTGTTCACAATCGTACCGGGGGCACACTGTCAGAACGCTAAACAATGAATATTTTCTTCAATATAGGACGTCGAAATAAGGCCACGCGTCATCAAAATTCAAGATCCAGTGACGGTAAGCAACTTGCATGCACGAGGAGGGCTTCTCCGTTTAGTTAGATCCGAAAGACGTGAACAAAGCTTGCCTCGTAGAGTTTAGAGTAAGTCGTTTCGAATGTCTCTGTGTATCGAAATTCTATTTCCGATCGAGGATTCAACGTGATACGTTTGGTAATGGCAATAAGGTTTAGGCGGCACGTAGAATTTAACAATAACGCTGTTTGCTTATATCCTATGAATGGTGAATCGTTCAAACAAGTCGGCGAGTCATTTGTAAATCGTCTTTTATCTCGCAGGGATATTTCAGAGGGTCCATTGAGAATGTCACGCTGTTCGAGGTACAGGAGGTCGTCGACCAACAGTGGAGGGCCATCGAGAAAGATATGGAAGGATACAATTATCCAAACGGAAGATATGGAGTTAATGTTAGGTAATATGTCGTTTAAGAGGCTGAAGCAGATTTCGTGTTGAACCGCGGTATTAAACGATGATTGATTATTAGCAAATTGGAAGACCTAGTATTGGAGAAAGGGGGAAGACCCATGCGGAGCGTGATACTGACCAGTTGGCGAAGCGGAAGCACGTTCCTCGGCGACGTGGTCAACGCACATCCAGCCAATTTTTATCACTACGAGCCCCTGCTCGATTTCGGGATCGTACAAATCAGGGGGCCACCTCTCGCCGACGAGGCTCTGAAGAATCTCGAGTCTCTATTGAGATGTAACTTCAGCGACCTCGGTAAGAATCCGTTTCTCTACTTCCTGTTCGTTCGATTTCTTTTCTATCGGGTTCGTTTCGCGTAGATCGATATTTGGATTACGGGAAGACGCATCCCTGGGTGTTCAATCATAATACTCATTTATGGAAGCAGTGTCAGATCCATAAGAAACTCTGTTGGGATCCACGGTTCGTTTCCAAGTTCTGCAGACTGTTCCCCTTCCAGTCGATGAAGATCGTTCGTTTGAGGCTACGGGTCGCAGAGAAACTGCTCGAGCAGGAAGAGTAAGTAAGATACTAGAAATTCCTCAATTAAATTCGTCGAGTAAAAAACATTTTTCGAAGGGGATCGTCTCGTTTCAGTCTAGGAGTGCGGTTGATCTTACTGGTTCGCGATCCTAGAGGGATTCTCCAGTCGAGGAAGCATCGGGAATGGTGTCCTTCGAATCCCGATTGCTCGGACCCAGCGCTAGTCTGTGCAGACATGGTCTCGGACTATAGCGCCGCTGTGCGATTAATAAAAAAATATCCTCGTACCTTTCGGTATGTCTCCGCCTTAATCAATAATAACTGTGTTATTCATGCCAATGGCTATAGAAAAACTTTGCTGGACTGTCCTCGAAGCTGCGAATCGATTCCAAACGTATACATTGAACTCTTTGTGTTACAGGGTGGTCCGTTACGAAGATCTATCCGTGGATCCGTACAGATACGTGAAGGAGTTGTACAATTTCTACGGTTTAGACTTTCACGTGAACGTGAAGAAATTCCTGGACACGCACACGAAGAACGACGTCGGCGGTGTTTCGAGCACGTTCCGCAATTCCAAAGTAGCTCCGTTCCATTGGCGCACGGATCTCGATTTTGCGGAAGTGGACGAGATCCAGAGAGTGTGTGCGGCCGCTATGCGGTTATGGGGATACGTGATGGCGTCGAACTCTAGCCAGCAAAAAGAGTTCGACCCGTTGACAGATTATCAACTTCAATTATGACACGCGTCGGTCAAGACCTGAACGTCTGAAGAAGATCTGTATATGTAAATCTATCGTCACTGTGCGGAAACGGTAATCGTCTGTACAAATACTCGGAATTATCACAAGTGCCCTATTTGAAATGGTGCTGAGGACGCTTGCCTAGACAGGCTTAATATCGATTTAGAAATATTTCATTTTTATAACGAACCATTTCGAAACACTTTTAAAACTTTCGGAAACCGTCTCGTGATATTTTGGGAAAGGAACAGAACTCAGATTGTCTTTTATATCCAGTGCTAGTGGGCAAATGAGAAAATGTTTCTAGATCTGTATTAGGCGTTACGATCGAATCTCCTCATTCGGCCAATTCGTTTTCGATTGGCGTGAAAGAAGAATTACAGATAGGAAATTATTCGACCTCGTAAGACCAATGGTGAAAACTTTGTTCCTTAAACAATTTTAAGAGACGTTAAGTGCTCTTCGAGCTTGTTGCATAAACGTGCAGATCGCTCGGGAATTTCGATCCAGATGATAATTCACTCTCATCCGATCCTAATTATCCGACTCTTCTTTCGTCCCTCCGGTGTCATATTGACAGCAGTTCATTGATCGTATCACGCCGGTGTCGAATCGATACGAGAGGTGAGAGTGAACTGGATCGACGGTCCCGAGGCAGACTTAGAATTTTAGACCAGTGGTATTAGAATACGGGTCAAGAGGAATCCCTGGCGATGCAACAAGGTAACATCCATATCAACGCATTCAGTAAACCTAAATAATAAATCTTTTTTAGAACTCGAAGTATTCGTGGCGATCTTGGTATAATAATAATAATAATAATAATAATAATAATAAAATAATAACGTAGTAGAATTTTTCACTAATATAGTTTATTTTTCACGGAGAACTCATAATAAAAGAAATTACTATTGTCATGTAAGTTCCTTTTAAAAATCCGCGTGTTTCAGTTTCGCTGATGACACGAATAGGCAAGCCTCAATGCCGTCGTTACCGTCACCCTATTTACGATGTTACGTCGTTATTATTTGCCAAGGAAACAGATTGTACATTACACTTGTAATATAATTTGTAGCAGTGTTTATTTTTTAATATATAAGGAGATACTTGTTTAAGATATATAATTATTTGTCCGTGGAGAAAGCAATTTATTCAAGCAATTATAAAATGCCCTTAGCGTTAGTAAAGTAAACGTGCTCAACATTCGTCAGATATTACTTTGTACGATAAATTGATAATTAAAATTTACTTCTACACTGTAATAAAGCCCGTGTTTCCAATTGGGAATTCGTCATTCGCATTTGGTAAATACGATTCTATTTTGAGACCAGCCCGAGAACAGGTCTTCTTTCGAGCGTTCATTTCCGTCTGGGATCTCGTCGAGGTGAGTTCGTTTACGTAATCTACGTTCATCCACGTGCATCGTTAAAAAATTTATAAGAATACTACCGATTCTCGAGTTCCAAACATATCCGCATTTGATTTCTTGTTATATTTTCCTTGTTTCGCTGTTACAATGCTATTAATTTTACGTTTGATGTGATGATACGTTTAATAGTCTCGTTCGTATGATATGTTTCCTGATTACAACGTAGAAATACAACACTGAATCTACCGTTGAATCATTCGAATCGCACCGATTACTATAGTTCACCGATCAATCATTCGGAATTCGATTTTATTTGTAGAAACTCCGCGATTAGCGTTTGCCCGTTAGTCCGAAACGTGTTTTGGACAGCGTCTCGCCTGATCAACTTAATTTCGGCATGCTCGCGGTTTTTCTAGTGAGTATTTATTTAAGGCACATTCAATCTTTTCATAAGAAGAATACTATTTTATTTGCAATTCAGAATTCACGCTTGATCTTTAAATTACCAATTATGCTTTTCTTAAGAAGTTACACATTTTCATCCCTTCATAAATGATGTTAAATTATCGCCCCAGACCGAATAGTACATGAGTGATTCGAAGTTCTGAAAAGATTTACTGTAATTTAAATTTGGTTGTTTTATTTATTGATACGATAATTAAGGAATATATTCCCTGTCTTAGATTAAAACCGAGGCGAACATGAGATTCCATCGCTTCACAAATTCATTCGGTGAGTTCTCGTATTTCTCTAATAATGTTCATTATTTGTTCTTGCAAATGGGAATAATAGTTGCATTGCATGTGATGATTAACACTAACGCCCTAGTCAATCGGAGATATTATGAAGAATGTGTTAGCTGAATTTTTAATCTATCAATTCGTATCTCCGATCTAGTATTTAAGAAACGAATTTATAATAATGATAAATATATTTTAGAACCGGATAAGGCGAATGGTTGAAAGCCTAAATGTTAAAACGATATACTTCGACATGTGAAATAAATTCGTGGACTTCGTTCTCGAGAACAGAGAATTTCTAAGAGGTAATTTCTTTCTATTAAAATAGGAAGCATGGTATTGAGTGTTTCTGTGATGATCTATAAGTTATCCCTGTCTTACACATACGTGGTGATAAATCTATTTTCTGATACAAATTTAATATTCTAAAGATTTTCTAACAATGTTTCTTCATTATAACAGTATCGAATTCTATTACAGAAGGAAATACTGTGATACACGAGGATGAAGGATAAATTTTGAGTCGGCGATGATTCTCGGATCAGGGTGAATAATAAAATAGTAAATATCCTTCTAAGGCTTCGATAATTTAATTCAATTAGAGTTTTAATTGTTTCGTGATGATAATTTTAATAGACAAGCATATGACTGAATAGCTTTGATGTTACTCATTTTCTGATTACGTCTTTTCAATTAAAATTATTACTATATAGAATAGATTATTTTGGAAATTAATAACATAGCTATTTGTATTGTATAGATCCGACTTCTGGCATTCACGATGCATCGTGATCTCTGGTAAGCATGATAGAATTGATTAATTACGAATTTATTGCAAAACTATGATGTTAAAAAATAAATATACGCTAATATGAATACCAAAATGATATTCACTTGCCCTCACTGAGTTTTATATATTTAATAAAAGATATATAATTCGTATGAACAGAGATTTGACAGGACTTTCTTTTTTTCTAGGTTTGCAGTCGTATGAAGACTAAAAGAAGCTGGAGGAAGGGATAATTCACGTGCACCTCTAATTATAACACTTCTGTTATTTATTTGAATTATAATCTTTTAAATACTTGTAAAATAGTCTTTTGCTTGACTTTGATCCTATCCATTACCAATCCCTTTCGAATATCACCAATCAAATAGATGTAAGAAAGACGAATTACGATCAGAATTAAAAGTCGAAATCAAAACTACGATTTTAATCAGAATGCGTATTAAAATCGGAAATCTAGTTTTAATGATAGAGCACGCCATCCCCATGATCGGCCATTGGGTCATCTGGTCAAGGATTCTGAAATAAAAATGCCAACATTCGATTCCATTAATTTAAGGTCATTTTTTGCTAAAAGCTTGCAGTTTCGATATACTGCAATTTCTATATAAAAAATTTTTCGCTAGCGTGAATAATTAATACAACCAGCGAGATATCCGCGCCGTCCGATCCGCAATTAAAGATGAGTCTGAATCGGTCCATAGTCCAGAGTAGTCAGCCTCCCACGACTTCACTGTTCCTGACAAACATTCATTAGGTAATTAAAAAGTCCATGCAACGAGGGATAAAAAAATCTGTTACATTGATCTACGTATGAAACAGAGATTTTAGGAAATTGAATATGGTTCGGATATTTGTTGAAAGATTTATTCTATATTGGAACATATCATCCATACATAGCACGGTCAATACCGATCTCGCTTTGTTTCGTGTAAAAAAGGTGGAAATAAAAATAATATACAACAGATAGAGGGCCCTCCCCCTCTCTCCCTTTCTCTCACTTCCCGGGTCCGTAATACATCAGCCTCCGCCTACTCCTTCGACAAAATGTACAATTCGGAAAATTCATCGGTGAATCTGTACACTTGATATAATTTAATTAAAAGAATGATTGCTCGCAGTTAAACGTAACAATGAAATTGCTAATCGTAATTATAATGCTATCGGTATCACTGTATGCATGTATACATATTATAATAATAATAATAATATTAATAATAATAATAATAATAATAATAATAATGGATAACAATTAAGATACAGATTGAGATATCTTACATAAAATAAATTAAATCTACGTTCGACGGTCGAATCTGATTCGACTCGCCGGACGCTTGTTCCTTCGGTGACATTGTACAATGTTTAATCAGGGAAGAGAAATAAATTAATTTACAAAACGGAATTCGTTGCCCAACGACCGTGCGTTGAGAAACGAGATTTGCCTAGATGCCCACGCGTGTCCTCAGTGAGAGAAAGTAAAGAAGAGAAAGAACATTGTTCAGCGGACTCACAAGCCGTCCAATTGAATCGCGAACAACAATATATTATGGCTACCAGCGGTCTTCCGGTCTATTTACATGCAGCGGGTAATTTGCTTAAAACGATTACGCCGTCGGGAGTTCTCTGTCCACGCTGCCTCTTCCCACGTCCCTTCATTCCCGTTTACCAATAATAATAATAATAATATCGGATTTAAATATTTTCATCGAATTCGATACTGCGGCTGTTTAATATTCATTAACTTGATTTTCCGTGCTCGGGATTTAAAATTCTAATGACATCACCGTTCGAATTCCCTTTTCCCTGTTGATCTCATGAATTACATATAGTTTACGCGGTCGACGCAAGACGGATCATCGTTTATGCGACGGACCCATCGTTGAATAAATTTGTCGGAATCAGGCAGAGTAGCGTCGGAGAAAATAATCGGGAGACCAATTCGCTTCGTCGAAGCTTCTTCTCATCGTTTTCCCCTCTACTCTATCGCTCGGAAAAATAGTATATCATCTCTTTATATATTTTTTTTTTTCTTACTCTCTCATCGCGCGCGCACTCTCTTTCTCTCTATTAATAATCTACACCCTGATGCCCATGCATAAATCGATTACAATAAATTATTTCTTATTGCGTCCACGAGGTCGGATACGTCTCTGCGGTTATTCTTTGTTTCGCGTTCTCATCGTCTCGTTTTTTTTTTATCCCAGAAAAATATATTATGTATATAATATGTATGTATGTATGTATGCGTATGTATAATATGCAATAATAATATGTATATTTATATACATAACAGAGCCCCGAGTTGGATCGACGATAGACAACAATTTTTATTATTACTTCTTTTCGTGTTCCTCGTCCAACGCGGAAGTAAACGTAAACCATCGTCCCCCCAACCCACCCGATCCCGGTCTCGAATTACGCTTGCCAGTTTTCCTCGCCGAATCCCCACCCCCCCCTCAGACACGGAAATGTATTGCTAGTAAAATATATTTATGGTCGATAGAATCCTTGAAATTGCCAGCAATTTTATTTGTTAACCATTTTCATCTTTTTAATATACTCTTAAACGCTACGGATGTTATTCACGAGTGAAATTAGAATTTCCGCGAAGAACCATTGAGAATTTTCGGGTGTAACTTCAGTGGCAGAACGAACGTGTCCGCTACTCTGCCTGATTCGCCTATTAAACGAAGGTAGCCGCGGAACGCTTGACGGGCGTTCGGACGTGGACAAAGCACCCCCCATGATGTAAAAACATAAGGTGTGTTCTTCCGCCATGTTCAAATGTGTCGCTGTTTGCGCCTTCCACTTATCAGCCATTTTTGAAGTACGATGACCTATTGTTTATTTCAAACACGCATATATATATTACACTCCGAGAACCTAATTTTTGACATGTTTACGATTTTAAAATTCGCTCTGTTTTAATATGAAGCGTGATTGGTTAGAAATCGAAAATGGCCAACGTGTGGAAGTGTCCGTGTACAGATGGATGTTCAAATGGATGCGCAAGAACACACCTTATGTTTTTACACCATGGCACCCCCGACGGTGCCGTTCGGTGAAACAAAAAAACAAGGGAGGAGGTATAGAATGTACAAAGCTAATTTACAAAGGTGTCGTTCGGTTGCCCTCTGTATTTCACGGCTCGCATCGCGTTACTTCGTCCCTGCTGCTTCTTCTCGTTTCTCTATATGTACACAATGCACTCTCTTTGAACTCTATGGCTTCTGTGGTTTCTCTCTGTCTCTCTCCCTCTCACTCGCGCACCACACATTCCGCGTATCTCCACCTCTTCCTTTCGCCCAATCGTAAATCGAAGTGTCCTTATCTGAGAAAAATCGTCGCTTCGGATCTCACCCCCTCGTTACGCTTCCCCTCTCACCACCCCCTCGCTCTTTCTTTCTCTCTCTCTCTCTCGTCCTTTCGAATGAAAAGGCTTTGCAATACTGTGTAAAAAAAATAAATAGCTTCTTCTCTTCTACCTCTCTTCTTATTAAAATAAACTTTGAACGTTTCCATGGATCGCCAGGAAAATAAATCCGTCAACGACTCGATAAACTCTCTCGTTGGTACGCTCGTTCGTTTTGTCTTACAATTCGACGCCTTCGGTTTCTTGTACACTCGAGAACGTCGGGGGGGTATCCAGTTTTCCAGGATGAGCAGAAACGGTGTGAAGTTTGCGAAAGATGCCGCGACGGAGAACTCAAGTCCCACGTTTCCATTTTTTTTTTTTCTTTTTTTTATTGCTGAGTGGTTTTGTCCTCGACGATTTGCAAATGATTGTCAACTAAATGAAACGTCCTGGAAAAGCTGACAGGATTTTCCCCCACGACGTTCGTTTTTACTCACAGTATTGCATGTACTCAAATGAAAACTCGTGAAACGTACAAGCCCTTGTAATCGTCTGTTTCGCCAGTAAGAAGTCTGTGCACTTAAATTCTACGCCACTCAATATTACAGTACTCCAAGCGTCATTCTCTTTTGTGTACATCGTCGTCGTTTCGTATATTTGAGAAGCGGCCGACGTCCGCCGGTCCGCTGCTCGATACGATTATTGAGTATCGTTTAAAACGGAGATCTACGAAATTATTTTCAAAGCGAGTTGCCAGTTCTTATTCATCGAATCGCCATTTATTTTTTTCGGGGCACTTTTCACGTCGGCTATTGCTTCAGAGATAAGAGCTAACGATGAACCACCGCGTAAATCATTTATTTTTAATTCGATTAAGAATCCTTCGTGGATCGTCGAAAATTTAACGAGAGCTAAAAATTGCACGAAATTCTTTTCTTACTTTTTTCTTTAAAGCTACAAATAAAAGATCCTACCAGACTAGCCAACGTATTCTTCAATTTACTTTCACATAATCCGTGACACCACGTCGAACCGTGATTTTTAATAAACGGCGCCAACTGAAAGAATGAGTCAGCCCCGTGGAACACAAACTGGCAACAATTTCCTTTACCCGACATCTCGCGAAAAATACACGTTTAAAATACAGATACGTCGTCAGCCTCGGGCTTCCTCCCCCGGGTTTCTCAAATTCAAGAATCGTTTATACCCATCGCTCTTGCACTCCCCATTCTACGCCATTCCCGACACTGTCTCACACGCTCAAAGATCATCGTCGTCGTTTTTTTTTTTCTTCCTCAGCAATCGTTAAAATTATTGTACATTATTTAATTAGTAATCGTTAGAATATAATATTGTTGATGTACATGTGGCTCCACCATTTTGGAGAACACGTGAAGCGGCACGCGCGAACACAGGGAAGTCCTGCTAAATACCCGATCCACTCTTTACAATAACTTCGAATCGATTATTTTTCACTTTAGACAACTTGGGCGTTAAAATCGTCGAATATCGAGAACAATCCCTGGAAACCACGGTCGATGATTAACGTTATTTAAATAGGAGTCAATCACCAATTTAGGGATTTTCGAGACGATGAAATCACAGAATCGTTTTTCATCGATTAACTACAATTTCATCGTCCCGGTTAATTCTAACGTCGTCACCTGACGATCTCTAATTGTTAATAATTTCTTGTTTTAATAAAATCGACTGGGAAAACTGTTCGCGCGTGCCTCTCGAGTATCTAGGGTCGTGTAACTTCTATTAAAACGCACACGGCCGCGTCGTAAGTCGAACCGCAACGCCGCGTTACCGATTTATCAAGTATCTCTTTTTCCTGCACCTGCGCGACGAAGCTAGCTTACGTCTCCGACAGATTTTTTGTTTGTTTGTTTTTTTTTTTTTGGGCGGAGTGCACGCCGAGTCTCTTCCTTTCGTCTCACGCACGCACGCACGCACGCACGCACGCACGCGAACGCACTCGTCTACTCAGCTCGGTTCCCATCGAGCAGAACTACTAATGTTGTACATACAAAGTATCGCTTGCCATTTTATATTTGCAGAAATTTTCACGCGTTTATGTAAATACACACGTGTGTGGTGGGAATCGTCTCATACCAATCCTTCCTCCCCTCCCCCCCCCTCCAAACCTTTACCCAATTTCGACTAAATAAAGTTACGAAATTCGACTAATTTTTACTACTTAAATTTTGAACCGCGAAGGTTTTGATACTAATCGGACGTCGAAACGATTGCAATTATACCTACCGTCACGAGAGTCCATAGTGCGCAAAGACCAGTTTTCGGTCGCTGTCCGCATTTCTCTCTCTCTAATGCTTTCCATATTTTCCCCACTACCTGCAAGCTGCGCAAAACTAGTATGGACTCTCGTGACGGCAGGAATACATAAAAATTTTGCCCTAACATGGCGGCACTCATTTCAGAGAACGTATATTTTATATAGGCTCCCTCGACGAGCGCCGCCGGGTTCAAAACGTGTAAAACCGAACCGCGAAGCAATCAGGAACAATGCCGTGAGGGAGTGACGCCTCGAAAATGAATTTTCAATTCGACAAACTTAATCTACTTGAATCACAAATACTCCCTGCCGGGCCTCCGTCTCTCTTAATTTTCCTAAAACGACGCTCTGATTCCCATCACTCGAAAAATACCGTGTAAACGTGTAAGCGTGTATGTGTACGTGTTTTTGTGTGTGTGTGTGTGTGTGTTTCCGTGTGCAACCTAGCGAATATATAATATATTGTATACATATAAAACGCTCCAAATAGAAATAATATTTTAGCAATTACTTTTTTTAATCGAATGCGGAGCAAAAGAACTCCCGTCAATTTAATTTGTCGACTCCTACCACCCGGTCGTATGTTTTTCATTTTTCGTTTTCTACTAAAACGTACAACAATAATTTTTCAGTCTAATACATTCCAAAGCACCAATTACGTTCCCAGCACGGAGCGGCCTTCCCCCCTTCGCTGCCCGCTCCCCGAATGCTGTTCTTTTTTTTTTTTTTTCTTGCGTTCCAATTCTTACCGTCTAAAAAAATGAGTCCGTCCGTCCTTTCGGTAACTAATTTCCCCGCACCGAGTTTCTCAGTTTAACAATAATTTCGTTTACGATTAATTTTTACGTATAAGTAGGTTACATTATATAGTTGCTAAGTAGAGATAGCAATTCGAGACTCGCTGTTCGCCGAACCAGCTGTCGAATTTATCGTGTGACAGATCTTCACGGCCAGTCGAGCGTCCGCATAGTTGCGTTAGTCCTGCCCCTCTTCGGTTTTTCATACGTTCTTTTTCTTTTTCTTTTTTTTTTTCTTTAATATACGCGTTCAATTTGTCTTACGGCTAATAGAACGTCGCTTTACGAGCTAACATACGTTACGTTACTCCGTTGTAAAAGCTAGTATAGTCGTACAATTTAAGTATAGTAAGATAAGTTGGCAGCATACGCGCGTTTCATCGCCTCGCAGGTCGGGAGTCTGCGTTGCCGTTCCTTGAAGTCACTGGCGAGCGATTACGATTAGAGGGCCACGGACGCATTTTCAATGTACCGTGCCCGGGTATTTATACCAATTAAAATATGATTAGTCTAGAAACGTTAAGCTTTGAACAACTCTGAGTGCTATTGTCCGGCTGAGGGCTACTGTAGATCAGATGTATTGCTCAATGTCGAGCAAACGATGGTTACAATTTCCAATGGAAGAGTGCTTTTTACAACTATACTCCTCGACCGACCGTACGTGTCGTGTGTCTCCTCCTCGCGTGCGTTCATTGTGATGCAAGTACAAATTAATTGTTAAGTGTATTAGTAGTATTAATAACAGCAGTAACAGGAGCAATAATAGTAATAAATAGTAGTAATAGTAGTAGTAGTAGTAAGTCGACCGCGGGTGCACATCCGACGAGGGCAGGTCCTATATTAACGTTATAGTTACCAGTTTAAATCGATTTCTCCTCGTTTTTCCCATCGCGTTTTAAATCTGGGACAATTTGTACGATCATCAGTACTATACAATATTAATCCTGTCTCTCTCGCTCACTCAGATCATTCCTACCATTCGCCGCATTTCTCTTAGTCACTCTCGCAACACGCCTAAGGATGTTACCTCTACCGTTTGTTACCACCCCTCATTTTAAAATTTAGTCAATCGACTGTTGAATACGAGTCGATAATTGGGATCGAAAAATTGTTTTGTACGTTTTGGTGTTAGTAATTGGCAGCCCCGAAAATTTTAGAAACAATTCCTCGACGCTGTATTATTGCCGTTTCTACGCTAACGTGTTTTCTGTGCTGCCGAAGTTGAGAAGGGAGGTCTCGAGAATTTGCCGGCGTTGAAACGAATCATTTTTAATAATGAATGAATTTTGCAAAATTGAGCAATGTTAAAATCACGAAGATAGTTCTTCAATTTGTTAGTATGAGAATCAGTTTTAGTAGGTGAAACACAGAGAAAATTTAAAATTCTCAGGGCTCCTTACATCTCTCTCTCTCTCTCTCGCTCGCTCGCTCTCATTACACATAACAATTATGTACAGCGTTTATATAAATCGTATATATTCTGAGAAATAAGGAACGAACGCGTTACTTCGAAAGTAAGAAGAAACCGAGAAAAATAATGCATCAAACTAACAAAGTATAATCATTTAACTTTATTTATAATAATCTTCAGCTTATAAGCTTCCTCCGTTTGTCCATTTGCTACAGCATCCAATAAATTAAAAACTTCACTTCTCTCTCTCTCTCTCTCTCTCTCTCTCTCTCTTTTTTTTCATAACGCTTCCTCTTGTTCATCATTCACTCACACTGACTCTCTCTCTCGCGCAGGGCCGAACGTTGCCTCCTTTTAAGAAAATATCTCCACCGTCTTATTATGCTACAAATCCTCCAGTTCGCTACATCAGATCACTTCTTCTGACTAAAAACGTGGCATCAGTAATCCGGACGCAACAGCCAGGGTCTCTCAGGGACGCCGCTGAGAGACTTTTACGCTCTTTAAAATTGAGATTTCGATCAGAATTGCCATTAAAAAAATTTCCAATAAAATTGCACATTTCGTCGGGCCTCTCAGCTACCCTGACACCGTCCCCTCGCAGACTTATAATCGTCATCACCGAGATCGCGAACCAGAATCCGGGATATTTTATTATATTAACGCACAGATCAGCGTGTCTACGTACAATAAAAAGACACCTAGGAGAAACGGACAGATCAGACCGGTTACGTGCCCGTTTTCCGGGCGGGCTGACAAACAGACAGACAGACAGACAAGAGAGATTGCGACACGATGCACATACATATGGTACACAATTAATCATGTTACTCATCGCGCGTGTGTGTGTGTGTGTGTGTTTCTCTATGTGTACGTGTGTGTATATGAGTGTAAGTGAGTGTCGTGTGGCCCAAACACATTTAAAAGGAGTATTATAGTTTGTCTCTTAAAAAACACAGAAACCCTCGAGTCTACGCTTGGCAGTATCATGAACAAATCGCTCGAGTTTCAGCCGGAAACTCGAGCGAGCGCACGTACTATATATTTATATATAATAGATGTACGTTTTATGTGTATATTAATATATATTTTTTGCATTTTTGTTTTTCTTTCTTTTATGTCTCGTAATCGCTTATTAATATCTCTAGAGTCTGGTGACGCGAACCCCTCAAATCTCTCCGTTTACCCTCCCGACGTGCGTGCGTTACTCATCCCTCCCCTTTCCTTTATTAATTCTCTGTTTTTTTTTTCTTTTTTTTTTAATTAATTTACTCTGTAGCAGCTTCGAGAATGAACGACGACTACGACACATTTAGACAATGAGAAATCGACGTCGACGGTTAACGCCCTTGGCAGTGATCGTAGAATTGCATGTAGTTCTTTCGTCTTTTGTGTTTGCGTTTACGTGTAGAGGTACGTGTGTAGTGTGCATTCTCTCCCCGAACTTCTTCCGCTGGTCTCTCCATTGCGCTTGCACGCTCTCCGCCTCTCCCTTCGACTCGCGGGGTTAACGTGTGACCGGTTTCTGATTAGTCGAAGGACGCTCGATTCGATTCCGGAATCTCTCAAGTCCGACGCGCTCGCTATTTGGGTCAGGCATGTCCGAGATTTCTTAATTTCTCATTTTAATTAAAATTCAGATTAAAATTGCAAAATGGCCGCGGGAGGTGTAAGTACTATTTTTTATAAAGTCCAAATCGGTGGGAATAGAGACTCAGATGAATTCTACTAGTCACTGTAAAAGAAATGCAGTGTCTGATAACGAACATGACTGAACCCAGAGTCGGGCGAATGACATTCAGGAATACCGAGGCGACCTTCGGTCTCAACGGGGATATGCCTTGTAGGGCGGTTTTAAACGAAAGAGAGTCGATGACGACCTGCCGTCGACGGTACAAGATTCATGGAGAACCGTTCCACCGTACAAGAATCCTATTTTATTGCACAATTTTTGCTTTGGCATCGAACCAGGAGTATTCAAAGGACCCGCTTCCCCTAATAGATCAAACTTCATCAATGAACAAAGCGATGGGTCGTTCCCAGAGCCATTGGAAACTTCGATTTAAGAACCGAGAATATATAACAGATTTCATAAGAGATGGTTTGATCGTTCGAGGTGCTTGAGCGGATCCTAAACAATTTTTATCGCTCTCGTACGGTGGAACGATTCTACCGAGTGTCTATTTAAGATTTAGCGAGCTTACGTGCGCGGTACGCTTAGATGTTTAAATCGTTTAAGAATTCTAAAGTCGAAACGAACTGTGTTAAGTTTAGCCGATGCGCACAGCTACTTTACAAGGGTGTATATAATAATAGGCAAAACTTTGTCGCGGTATGTGGTGTCTCCTCTCGTTTCCTTTCTCGCTCGTCCTCCGTAGCAAAAACGGCGATGTCCGATAAAGCATTCGATGTGGTAGACGCATGAGCATGTTTCACGGTACAACAGATAGAGAGTATAAGGTGTGTGCAAGTGTTTCCGGTGTAATGGCGTCTCTGTACGGGTCGTCTCCTATTAGGAGCACTGTTCCTCTTCGTTAAACTTCATCGCTCGCCTGTGATCGACTCGAGACCCGACAGAAGACGATTTCGTTTCCAGTGCTGACGTTCAATTTCGACGGGGCAACGCATTACCCTTGCACAGTAAAAAGCAACAAACACGTCGATGGGCGATGGCGGTGATGGTTCCCCATTCGATTTTCTTCAACCAACTCTGTCTCATGCCATCGAGACTCTCGTCCCACGCTGTTCTGCGGTGTGGCAGTGTCTGCCTTGCGGCATTTTACGTAGTTTATGGATCTTCATCGTTCTCGTGAACTCTACGCCCGGGTCAGGCCTAGTCGGAGCACCGAAGGGCGTCCTAATCTAGTAGACGCGACGATTGATGATGATTGTCGGGTCGCAGGACCCGTGTACGTCGCTGATTCTTGAATATATCGAACGTGGCTTGCCCCTCGGGCCGGTCTGACCGATGAAAAACGATGTTAACTCGGGTAAGAGAGTAACGTGCCGCATGGTCACTTTGCTTCGTACGTGCGACAGATACAACTGTACAATAGTATAATAAAACACGTGACTATAAGATGTTTCTAGTCTGTTTCTAGGCGAAGTACTATATAGCAGCCTATCCAATCGAATCCGTCGCCTCTTGTATGTCGATGGTTCCCGAATCGTCTCCAACTGCTCTGCGTCTTTGACCTTCCGACGAGTACGCACACGTTACACAATTTTTTAGCTGTTTCTTTTTTTTGTCTTTTTATCTTACTACGGAATACAACTGCATACGATCAGTTAATAGCATAGAGTTACAGTGTTACAACATTGAGAATCCTTAGTGTTTACAGTTGCGGCTCACTTTTCCCCGTGTCTGTGTGAGTGTACAATTTACGTTCGACCAGTTTCCCGTGATTCTCCTGCTGCTGTGTGTGGCCGAGCTACCACGCGTGCCTGGCTGGTTTCGAATACTGCCATATTTTACGCCGGCACAAAAATAAGAACGACGTTTCTCATAGAATTTTCCGTGTAATTTTTGTGCTAGCATCGTTTGTTCCTCTTGATCGTCTTGAACCAAATCGTGACGTCCGTGTTTCTCCCATAAGAAAGATCTTCGCTTCCGTCTTCCTCTTCCGGTCTGATCCTCGCACCCTTCTTCATCATGCAATCTCCCTTTCGCTCAATCAATCAATCTCTCTCGCTCTCTCTCTCTCTCTCTCTCTCTCTCTCTTTCTTCCGTCTCTCACTCTCCCGCACAGATTTATATTTAACTTGATTTTCTTGATTTTTCATCTCTTTTTTCTTATTAAAAAATTAAAACGGACGGTTAAATTTCATGGTTTCGTTTTGTCGGTGAGCCGATGTCCGCTGCTGAAGGCACAAGGCTTTGCACTTGAACTCGGTCACCTAGCCTAGCTTCACTGACTTACTACGACCTACTACCAACTAGCCTCGCTTACTTTTACTTTACTTAACGTTCTACATTTTGCTACTACCGCTTTTATTTTTCTCCCCTTTCTCCGGTTCCATCTCGCTCGCTCTCGTTTACCGACGTCCATCCATTCCATTCCCGCTGCTGCCGCCGCCAAGTCGCGAAAAAGAAAACCCGGACGCGCGCAAATGCCAAAGCCTCGTCTTCGACCTGTTCGTCGCGGAAAAACCGTTCCCCCCCTCATCATCATCCCCGTCGTCTGTTCACCGCCCATCATCATTAATCACTCACTCACTCGACCCTTTCTCACCATCGTTCATCCTCTCGCTCTTTTCCTCGTATAAACAATGTACATGCTAGCAATATATTATTATGCTATGTGTTGTGATATAGACTCTATGGTATCATTATGTATAATCGTACGGTTTTGTTATTTTTCATCATCGTAATCATTTATTTTGTTTTTTCCTTTATTCCGTTTTTCTCGTTCCGTTACCTCGCAGCTGCTGGCCGTTGGTGTCACGGTCAGGGCCGGGTCGCTGCTCAACAGCCAACCCGGCTGCGATTATTAATCCAGTCCTATCATCACCGTCAACATCGTAATCATCGTTATCATGATGATTATCTCTTTCTCTCTCAATCCTCGGTCGAAAAGAAAAGATTGTACACGCATACGGTACACATGCACTCCCTCTCTCTCTCATTCCTTTCTCTCTCTCTCTTTCTTTCTTCCTGATTTCGACTCTCGCGTCTCCAGCTCTTGAAACGTGCCCGCTTTTAGCCGGTATCTTATACAATACACATTATACATTTACATATCGATTCCGTGGATAGCCAGGTAGAGGATATAGTAATAACGTAACTGTAGGTAGCTTCTTATTACAGTCTCTGTACTGTCTCTACGTATCACAGCCTGGGTGCCTCGCCACTGCCTTCTTCCGCTCTCTTCCTCTGACTTCATCGTCACGTGTTAATCCCTCCTAGCACTGCCAACAGAGAGAAAAAAAAAAAGAACAAACAAACAACGCCCCCGGAGCCTTGCGAGGGCCTCGAGGTCTGGAGAAGGCTAGAAGCGAATCCAGATGCCGCCGGCGGGCACCGGATCGTCGATTAGGCAGTGGCATGGTGGTGCACTAGTACAGGAGGTTCTCCGAGTCGACGTTCCACATCCGCCGATGATCCTCGTCATCGGTCTGGTCGTCGTCCAGGACGCCGCGCGGACACGCGATGAAACAACACTGAAAGCCGACAGAGATCGGCAACGGGGAAACTAGGGCGTCACGTCCCAGATCTCGGCGAGGAAAACTGGCAGCTTTTTGTTCTTGAACTTCAGACTGAAGCACATCTCGCTGTTCTTGTTGCCGAGGGTCCTTAACTCGGTCAACACGGACAGGAGCTTGGCGAACATCGTGCCCGACTTCGGGCCGCGCCGATTGTCCACGTACGCCTTCAACGTCTGCAGGTAGATCTCCTGGATCTTCTCCACCTTCCAGCCGTCGAGCAGGTTCGGCCTCTCTGTAACGAACACCAGCAAACTTTCCTTTGTAACCACGATTTCAGCGGTTCGATTCCAGACGCCAGTAACGATGAATTATGAGTTATGTGCAATGTTTCGAACGAACGGGCGATCTAACGTAGTTCACAGGAGTGGTCGGAATTTGAAATGAAACGAATCTCGCGTACCTGAGAATATGACGATGGCCGTCAGCAACGCGTACTCCGCGTTGTTCACTTTCATGGCGTACATTTGCCGGCAGAAGTGGAGCAAGTCCTCGATCGTCTCGCCCATACCTGCCATGTTGTAACTGTCCCTGGTGTACGGCACATTGTTGGCGAATATTATGCTGTCCGTTTGAACGTCGTACTTCCTCGCCATCCGAAGCATCATCACTTCGCTGGAACAGGCCTTTAACAGGGCCATCTGGTCCTCCCTAAGCAGCTCATCGAACCCAGGTAACCTTTTCGAGAACTCGACGATCAGCTGCACGGTAAGGATCGTGATCTCGGTCATATGCCTGAACTTGTAGTCACTGATATCCTCTCCCTCCGAAGGCTGAGTCTGTCCGACGAAACAAATACGATTACAGCGAGGCACGTCGTTTTCATTGATTACTGTAAAGGAATTCGCCCCCGCTTACCGTGACTCGCCTGAGATCCTCTTCGTTGGGTTGCTCGAACTCGTTCTGGAAATGCACGAGCCTGTGTATCAGCTCCTCTTGCTCAGGGCTGATGGGCTTCACCACGTAGCCGTAAGGACTGACGGGCGTCAGGATACCGCTGCTCCCAGACGTGGACAACGACTCAGCCTCTGCTGGTTCAATCTTCACGCCCATCTGGTCGCTGCGTATTCCACCGCCCGGGGAACCGTTCATCGTTGTACTGTTCGGTTTGTCCTTCTCCTGGAACAAAACGTCCCTCCTAAATTCTCTGCTACTAAATACGATTCCCTCATAGGATTTCCTTCAAGGATTTCACGATATAAAATTTGATATTTTTATGTAACGATGCAAAAATTGTTGGAATCGATGTTTTTATGTGAAAACAAATTATGAAGTTCAGTAATTAGGATCAGGAGTCTACCTTCTGCGCCTTCTTCTCCTTGCGTTTCACAGCACACTGGTACTCGGGGACGACGCACTCGGGCCTCATGCCGACGGTCAAGCACTTCTTCAACCTGCATTCCTGGCACTTGCGCCGCATGTACATGTCGATCTCGCAATTGTTCCCGTATTTACATTGATAGACCGCGTTCTTGGTGATGCTGCGCCGGAAGAAGCCCTTGCAGCCCTCGCAGGTCAACGCGTTGTAGTGGTAGCCGGAGGCTCGGTCCCCGCATACGAGGCACAGCTCCTCCTGCTGCCTCGGGGTTGGCCCTTTTTTCTTCCTGGCGTCGCAGCCGTCGCTGCCGCCGCCTCCTCCGCCTCCTCCACCTCCGCCCCCGCTGCTTCCATACCCGTTCAAAGAGCCAGGCTGCGACAGCTCGTCCCTACCTGCGAACAGATTAAACCGACTGTTACTCTTTGACGGGATTCAACGTTTCATTGATTGACCCTTCGGGTATTCAATTGATGCCCACTTTGTGGTATCATCAGATTAATTATTTCAAAGATCATTTACCTAGAATTATATAATCATACTAATTATATAAGATCAAATGTGAATGAGTTATGGCCAGAAATACTACGCAGCTTCCCAATTCATCTACTTTTGCTATGTCGTATAGAAATGATACGAGGAATTCCTAGCTTTCCGGTGATTACGCGATTCGCCGTGACTCGCTCGAATTCGAGTCGAGCGGGTTCCAGTAACCTACGTGACGACACATCGCCTCTATTACCCCCTTTATCTGTGAAACTCGTCGAATGGAACGCCGCGCCGGTAGAAGTCACGGTCGGTGAAAGTACGTGTGGTTCTGCACGCGTCTTCGACCAGCGAGGCAGAATCGAGCTCACCCGCGAGACCAAAATTATTCTTTAAGCTTACGATAAAAAATTTCCCATTACACCAGTTCTGACGAATAACGAAATAGCGACGATCGTTAAATAAAATTATACGCTGCGTTTCGTACGAATCTTATTAAGCTCCTTGGAGCTATTTTTTTATTAAATCGCATTTCAGCGAGGAATTTTTGTTCATGCGGAAAGCGAATGCCTCTCACTCTTCCGAGGTGATTCCGCGAAGAGGAGCTCGGATGCTCCCGGAAGTACTGATCGCTGTGAAAACATCCGCGCTTGGAACACTGAGACACTGACCGGACTAGGTGGTCACTCGGTTATTTACCCCTCCTTCATCGGCCGTCCGATTCAACTCGCGATACATTCATCTCGTCTCCTTTCATCGACGCTCCCTTAAACTTGGACAAATTCATCATCCATAGAACTTAATTACTTCTACGATTGTTCAGTTTAAAAGTCTTCGGATCTTTGAAAGAAGGATATTTTGTAACATCCATAAATCAATAATTTTCACAGGAACAGCTGAGAGTTTTCCCAAAGAAAACGGTTGGATAACGAAACGTAAAAGTTGGCAATTAATCAAAGTTGAAAACAGTTCAGTTGTTCTATCGGGAGAGGTCGAGACTTTTGGCGAACCGGTACCGACTCGCGAAAAGTCTGAATAAACGGAGGCATCGAATGCCATGGAGAAACCGAAGGCCAATATATTATAGTCGACGTATCTGACTGGTTCAAAACTGATACCACCAGTTTGTGTACATATTAGCAAGTAGCACATAACGATTCTATGTAGAGCGAGCACAGGCCTCTCGTTTCAGTGCCGCAAACAGGTTTCCATGCTACTTAATACTGGCTCGACGCTGGTATTCCTGCCAGCTTCTTGGTTACCACGTTATCAAAATACGTTTCAGCGTTAAGTCTTCAATTAATCGATTCCACAGCTGAACGTGTAAAACACGATAATTCAAAAATTTTAGACTCGACTCTCTACTCGTGTGACACGGGGAGATGAGAAATCCACAGGGGAGCCTTTAATTCTTTTTACAGCTGACCTTGACACTGCAAGCTTTGTGTATTTATAGAGTGCAAAACTGGGAACGAACGAAGCCTGGGCTAGAGTTCTGGACGATCTCACTGTGGCTAAACAGTCGGAATTCATCCGCGATGACTGCTAATTGTAATCCCTAATTTTAGATGAAAGTAGAGAACATCTAATCGCAAACAAACGAACGCCTTTATAGCAAGCCAAGAAACTTGATCGTATCCAGTTTGATTTAGAGAACATATATCAAACTTAAAAACTAGATGATCGAAAGTGTTCTTAATAAATTACTTAACTTCAGTACTCAAGTTCAGTTTGGCTACCAAACTACTAGAAGACGACTTTAGAAAATCGACACAAGAGACTTTAAAGCTAGATTTTAAACTTCCAGTGCAATTCACTATTAATTTTGGTAATTATTCAACAATTCAGAATTATTCATTCCTTTTTATAGAAGAATTTGGCGACGGTCCTTCGGCGGTGTTAAAGGGATTTAGATCAGTTTCTGTGGGGCGCAGGGAATGAGCCTAAGCAAGTGTACAGTGACTCGACGTGGCCGGTTCGCTCTATACTCTCTACGCAGCAAGGTTTCCGTGCTGGTTAGTAGCTCTCTCACGGCGGAGCAGTGAGCGGCCTTGACTCTGGTTGGATGCCTGGCTTGTGCAGGCTGGCAGGCAGGCAGGCAGGTAGGTAGGTAGGTAGGTAGGTGCTTCTCTTCTATACACGCGCGCACGTTCCTCAGCACGCGTCCTTCTCGATCCTGGCCGGTCGGCTGGCTCCGGCCAACAGACAGCGAGTCTTCGCCTCTCTCTTGCAACACACACGGTTATTCCGCTCCCCCGCCGCTGTTCAAGCTTCTTTCTCGTGCCTCTCGCCCGTATCTCGTCTCCTTTCGCCTACCGATCCGCGCTGTCGCTCTTGCCAACAGAGGAAAGCTAAAACGGGCCAGTGAGCACTGCTTTTTGCGGGCTGAGCCTCGGCTTCCTCTATAATGCCACGAGGAAACCAGAACGAACTCGTCCTGGGATTCAGGCCTTCCCAGTTTCGTCCATCGGCTATGCGAGTATTGTCCGCCCTTTCCAACAGATTTCGGCAGAGGTTTTAAACAACGTTTTCGTTCAGAGACCCTCTGATCACTTTGGGATTTAATCTTAGCCTTGGAAACTTGGCATTTAAACTTGCTATTGTCCAACAGATCTACGGATAGAATACAGGTTAACAGGTTGATATATTGTGCTACCTTTGTAAAACGGGCTCTCTTCGGGGTATGAATTCAGAGAACTGACGAGGGTTTAAGCAAGGATTAGGAAGAGTGCCATTAGAACCTTTCATAACAATAAAGGAATATTGTAAAACGAGCATTATTTTCATACTGTAAAACGATCATGAGTGATAGTATTGAACGTTAACGATGAGATATTGAATTCTAAATATTACAGGTGTAGTTGTACGAAGAGTTAACTGTTTCAGTCGGCTGGTGGAAGAACGAGGATCGAGGACGAGGCGAGGAGGACGTCGGGACAAGATGGACGGCTAGCGGCACATCGTTCTAACGCCGTTGACTATCATTGAAGACTCCGCGCGCGAAACCCGGCCGCGTAGGAATGGAAACACGACTAGGAGTCTTCTCTCTTTCATTCTCGTCACATTTCACGCGAACTGCGTGTCTCCTCGACGTTAAAATTCAGCGCGCGCTCGTTCGTTCGCAAGGGAACGCGATTTCACGACTTACTTCTGTACGACTCATAATTCCCGGCGAATTACGAAATCACCAGCGAAATTCCATTCACTTGGTTTCTGTTTCCAAATGTCCAGGATCGTCGTCCTTCGTCGATGCTTCCTGCTTTTGTAACGACTCCTTTTTTTTCCCTCCTGCAGAATTTTAATTCTCTTGTTTTGACAATGGCGAATTCGTAGACGGTGTCTAGTTGCCAAGTACACGCGGCAACGCGACCTTGTCCTACCCCTCTCGGGTCCCTTTAAAAGGCGGGGCACCCACAGACTGTTTTCCAACGGAAAATAGGCACACACGAGCGTGTAACTAATGGATGTCATATCCGGTCACGGTATGCGACCTGATAAGATCTGAAGAGAAAAGGAAAAGATGAGGACAACACGCGACCATCATAGCAATCGCAAGATAAACATGGGCGTAGTTGCATAGAAAAAAAATTTTCTCTCTTATTTAAATGAAATTTTAACCGAACAACAAAATCAGAGATTTTACGATTCGCTTGTCTCACGTATTTAAATGACAATAACAGAAATTCATATTTGAAGGAAATTTTAATACACGAATAATGGTGAATCCGAGAATAAACTCAGATATTTTATGATTGACTGGCTTCAACATTGGAAGCTGATATTATTTCTGAAACGATATAATTCAGGATTTATTTCTCGATAAAAGAATTCTATGTAGAAGAGCGGAGGAACGACGAGCAAGAACCGTACAGGAAATCCATGAATCACCGGGCACGAATTTATTTTCGTTGGAACGATCCTACGCAACCGTGAACAACTTTTGAAGACCTCGAAACACTCATTTCGTATTCCCGGTGGCCCGTCACAACGTTAAAACTCCAACCCGGTACTTTTTAATCCCTCTCCTTTTTCAACATTCTACCGAAAATAAAAACCCGTGGCTGATCGAACCATCGGTTTCGAAACATCGCGATTAGCCTAATTCGATAATACCTTAAGACTGCAGCCGTCCAAACACATTCACAATTTTCTACGATGGAATCTGTAGAAGCTGCAACCGTTTCGACATCTCCATAATTCTATCAGGCTAATTCGACGATACTTTAATACTGCAAACATGACTATTAATAATTTTCCATGATGGAGACTAAACACAGTGAGTGTCGCAAAACGATTGAGTAACAATAGCTGTTGAAAAACCGGAGCCTGGCCACTGGACTTCCGGTTGAAACAATAATGTAGCGCGGACAAAAAGGATCATTTTCCCAGCGGTAGTGATCGACTGGGAGTTAATGGAACGAGATGATTTCCAGCAACCACCGGTCCAGCTGAGCGTGACATTGGATAGAATCTATCCATGAACCATTGGGACGATACTCGAAGGAATTGCAGGAAGAAACGAACGATCCAGGAAGGAGCTAAGAATATTCGGGTTTGATTTACGAATCGCGAGATCGTGGTCACCCTGTTAACGCGAAAGTCGCGACGTACCGGATACGGTACTTTTACCGGAGGGAATACCACCTTCGTAACGTCGCAGAGAAGACACGCCGCCCCTACATCAGCGATTCTCAACTACCATTCCCTCAATCAGTATTTAACACGTTCCGTGCCAAGCCATTTTTGCCTGACTTGTCGTTCAGGCCATTTGATATTTTGATTAAAGAAATGCACCATTAAATGTAATTATTAATTATTGTATATATAACAATTAAATAAACTTATGTGTTTTGTTCTTTACTGCATCTTGTATAATGCTTCATTTTTTAGGTAGAAATATAGTTTACAG